TTGCACTGTATGCTTTCCCATTAAATTTGATAAGCTATAAGTGAGTGGATTCACAAGAAGACTTATGCAAATATTTACCTGCATTTGGGTACCACTTTTAAATAGCCAGCAGCTGGTCAGTGAGAGATACTATAGCAACACTGGAGTGATGTTCCCAGGATTGTTATCTACTGTAGCTTTTTCTTGCTAATGTATAATGTTTATATAGATACATATATATATATGACATATATGTGATATGTATTATATATGTGATATATAGTATATTACCACTCTATATGCACTATTTCTATAAATCACATACTTTAGAATATATACACAACATCTTTTGCTGAATCTCCCTGTGGTCACCTGAAGAGTTAAGAGATGTGAGTTCCACCCTGCATGCCTGCCCAGCATTTACGTAGTCGTTTACATTTTCTTATGCCTGTTTCATCATTAGTAGTAAAGTTAGCCATATCTCCCTGGGATTTAGCTTCACTCAGTCACAAGAACTGTGGGGAATTGAAATACCAGTATCTGTGACTTATCTCAGGAACATGGTTGCCATGGTGGACAGGAGTGGCTAGTTGTATGGCTTTTAAGGTATAAAGAAGCCTCTCTCTGTGTGTTCCTCTCCTCGACCCCTCTAGAAGCCGAGGGCACGCACATTCTGTGTGTAACCACCCAGAGCTGAGGGCCCATTTCCACCTGAAGGGGAGGAGCTATCTGAAGAAAGCCAAGGAAGAAAGAGCCGGGATGCAGCCTGCCAAGGCCATTCACGAACAGGCTGAGTCTCCAAGAGAATTCTTCAGACCAGCTAAGAAAGGGGAGCATCTGGGCCTGAGCCGGAAAGGCAACTTCAGGCCCAAACTGGCTAAGAAGAAGCCTACAGCTATTGTGAATATCATCTAGAGCTGATATTCCATGAGGAGATACGGGTGGCTCAGAGGCATCACCATGGGGCTTGGGGAATGATGTTCCAGGGGCCAACAGGGTTGTCCTTTTGGACATGTTGCCGTAGGAAGACACAGCAGAACAAGGGACACACAGGGACACCCTGATTAGCCAGAATTTAACGGAAGGGGGTCCCCATGAACCAAGATTGTATTTCAGTCTGCTTGAGGTTCAAACAAAGCAAATCACAAAACCAATAAGAAATAATGAAGTAAAATTTGAAGCACTTTTATCTTACAGTTCTGGTAAACATGAACCCATAACTTCTAAAATAATTGGCTCAGTCTCCAGCAGTCCTGGCATCTGGGCTTCTATGCAGTGGTCATTAGTACTTGGGCCACACAAGATGCCAGGCTCTGGTGTCCACTGCTCTCTGAATTATGGGGCAAGGAATGTGACTGTGAGGTTCTACTTTTTAATATATATATATTGGTGTTTTGAGACAGGGCCTGGCTCTGCTATGTAGCCCCGGCTGGCTTGGAACTTGATATACACCAGGCTGGCTTGGAACTTGCAGTAATCCTCCTGCCTCTGCCTCCCGAGTGCTGGGATTACAGGTGTATGCCACCACACCCAGCTGGGAGTGTAAAATTCTGGTGAGAGCAGTGAAATGAATGATTTCTGTTCTTGTTTGTGTTTAAAATCCCCTTGATACATTTGAAAGTCTCTCTAGTAAAAGTTCTGACTACCCCTGAGTGTCCTGGTTAATCAAGACTTTAATCTCCCGGGTGGTTTACGGATGTGTTCAGTTAGACCTCAGTTCTCACTTTGCCAGATGTCTTTTAGGTTTCTTTGATTCAGATCTGGGTTCCTTCAGAGCACATTCATTCAGATTTGGGCGCACCCACCTGCCTTCTTCGGCTAAGCACGCCGCACCCTCAGAGCTGTCTGCCAGCCTCTATCTAGATAGCTGCTAAAACCCTTGGGGTGAGCAGCATCACTGATGGGATGTCCAAGTGCTTGAAGTGCCAGAGGAGGGCACATGCAGTGTACCAGGAACATCCTGGACATGCTGCCGGGTCGCCCAGCCTTCTGCTACCACCTGTTTCCCTGGAAGTACCACAGGCTTGCTATCCATTAACTGTGAGCAAGCATGCCCTTCTCTTTGCTGTCTTCCTTTCCCACCTCACCTCCTGTTGCTTCTCTGACTAGAGCACACTTTCCCTCCTGTCAGCCATACACTTAGGGTGTTCATTGTGCGGTGAATTCTATTGCAATTTCAGGAAATATAAAGGATGCATGTGAGATCTGACCTCTGATACTGTCCTCCGAAAATGGTATTGTTCCTGTAGAAGAACTCTCAAGAATCTCCCATTTTTAAATGTTCTTCTAGAAGGAGATTTCTTGTTTTTTCCTTAAACCGTACAATACCATCAGGTCTCTAGAGTATACACATGCTGACATCCTTCCTAAAACAGGGATCATGTTGTCCATAAGTATATACATATATAATACATATACTATATATATACATGTCAAGCATATTAATAATTTATTTTTAAATACTCATGGAAGAAGTGTGTGTTTGTGGTGGGTGGCTTTTAAACTATATAACTTTGCTTCTGTAAATCAAATTCTTTTACTTTAAAAATGAAAGCTGTAACCTAATTAACACTAGTAGAATTATTGTTATTGCAACAAGCATCTGAATAGCATTACATTAAAAATAGATAATAAAGCAGTTACTTAGGATGCCAGTACATTGAAAAGGAGAACTCATCATCGTCAGATACTTTGAGCCTCTCCTCATGGAAAGGCTCATGCTTGAGTCCTCACTGACTTCTGGCTTCTGGGGGCAGATCTTCTGTGTGGTGTATATAGGCAGATACCAAGTAGGGAGAAGAACACAGCTGTGGATGTCACTGTTGAGGCTGACGTTTTGGGCACTACAATGTTATCATTTTTTTGGATAAGAAATCTCCTCCATGGTTATTTATTATTGATGTTTATGTCATGATTGCATTTTAGCTTTCTCCAGACTGAAGATGTTACTGGGTGATTGTATTGCATGCTCCCTGTGCCCTGTAGTATGTGCTCAACAACACCAGCTTGGTTTTGAAGATAGTAGAGCCAGACTTGTTTATTTAAAGTAATTCATTGTTGGTGTTTACTGAACATGCCTAGGAGGAATGACAGCCCTCTTTAACAGTGATACACAGTCATCTTTGGAAAGCACGGTAGTGTTGTATCTACTCTATAGACGTTACACAAGACAAATAGTTTTGAGATTTAATTACTGAATTAAAAACTTCTTTTAAGTTTCAGCTGGATTCTGACCCCCATCCAAGGAAATGCACTAAGCTCAATAGACTTCCTAGTGACATAAGTCTGCTGTTGAAGTACGGGAACTGGCTCGGAGAGGGGATTATTCATTCACACTACACCATGGCCAAGTTCCATGTATGTGGACATTTTTTTTTTTTTTGTTCCCTGAAGCAATCAACCTTAGATTTGAGACAGTGACTTTTTGAATAGATCACCAAAGGTTTTGAGAAACCATAGTCAAGGTCCAACTCACATAAAAATCGGATTTTATTGTTTATTTTGTAAGGGGAAAAGATCTGTTCTATCCTCCCAACCCTCCCCCAGAAACTAAGAACATATTCTTATCTGTAAGTGTGGCTTGCTTGGAAGCTGTTTTCCAGTATTCTGCAGAGCCAGTTAATTGTATAGAAGTTAGAATATTTCTGTTGCCAGGGTGAAAAAAGAGGAAGTTTTTAGATTATGAAATATTATGATAATAAAGCTATATTTCTGACTAGCGTGTTGGTCTAGTTCTTCTAGGTCAAGTGTTTTGGGAAAGTCAGGTTGATTGCCCCACTAGTGAAGAACAAAACTGTGCTTCACAAATAAACTGTTCATTACGGAAGTAATCACTGTGACCTTATACACCTCTCAGCCTTCAGGAAAACTAGCTTGCTCATTTGCATGCACTCTAGTCTATATCTCAATATTCTTTTTCTATCTGTTCACATTAAGGGTGCCTCATTAAAAGCCTGCTCAGCATCTTTCCCTGTCTTCTATGACTATGAATAATTTTCCCAACACCTCAGTTTTAAACTTGTCAACTCTTAGCAAAAAACTATAAACAGACATCGCAGTGTACCCCAGCCTGGGTCTGCTGCACATCCTTGTTGCTATAAATCACAGAGAGTGCTTAGAACAGGTTGCAAAGAGAGGAACGATTCAACCACTGGTCTTCTAAGGAGCATGGAACTATGAGAACTCGGCGAACTCCAATTGTCAGTCTGTTAGAGCTATGGGTGAGATGCCCTCCCTCTGCTCTCCGCACTTAACTGCTGTTAGGTTAGTTGCTATACCATGTTATAGTTTTTCTTCTTGAGAACTAGCATGATTGTCCTCATTGGAGATGTAGGTGTAAAGATTTCACTAGACTCAAGATAAATGATAAATGGGTGTTAATTGGGGAACACTTACACAGAAAAATACAAAGAACCACAGGAGCGTTTCTCTGCCCTTCCTCCCAGACCAGCTGACCCACCAGAAAGACCTCACAAAAGAAAGCCATGCCTCAAGCTTCCCTCTTCTGCTTCCGTCCACCTAAAGCCACACCCACAGGGGTGTGGTCACCGTTAGACACCGCTACAATTCCCCTTTTAGTCTAAAAAAGAAGGTTTTAAGCCTGATGCAAAAACTATATATAATGATAATAAATGTCAAGTATATTCCAGGAAAAGGAAAGGTAAAAACATATACAAATTAAAACCTACTACCATCAAGAGCAACACTGAGCAATAGCTATATATACTACACCTCATACTTCCCTGGCATTGAAAAATGTAAGTTAATGTCTTGAATTCCAGGAATGGTGTGGACAGTCCTGAACAGGAGGCTTGGAGGCATTTCAAATAGTGACAATGTTCAAAGTTGGATTCCTTTAGAGGACTCACTCACTCAACATGATGGTCACCAGTTCTGTACATTTTATTCTGTTAGGGTTTAACATGTTTTTTTTTTTTTGCCTCATTTGCAAAAGCTACGGAGAAATGGAAAGGCATGGAACTAAAAGGAAGATGACAAATGCTGTCAAAAGGAAGGGGAAGGTGGGAAAGAGAGTGATAAAGAGTGACAGGCGGTGGAATGATCTGAGGACATCATATGCACATAAAGAAATGATACGAAGTGGCTCTTTACTTGAGCCGGGCATAAAGTCTGTAATCCCAGTACTCAGAAGGTGGAGACAGGAGAATCAAGAATTCAAGGTCATCCTCAGTGGCATAGGAAGTTCAAGGCCAACCCCGGGATACCTGAGAGTCTGTGCAAAAAGAGGGAAAGAAAGAACATAGGAGACAAGGAAGGGAGCAAGAAAGGGAAGAAGTTTATATAATTAATATATACTAATAAAAAATGAAAGCAAAACACAGGGGCTTCTAATACTAAATTTCTATGGAGAACACAGTGAACTTCAGACCGTACACAACTCAAAACAAACCTCACTCTCAGGCCTCTAAATTATAAACTTTTAAAGTAAAGGCAGTGAAATCTTGGTGACCTTGCATTAGCATTTGTCACATTACACCGTGTGCGACAAGAGGAAAGCACTGGCAAAGCTTACTTTGTCAAAACATAAAACTTCATTAAATAAATAGTTAAGAAAATGAAACAGATAGATACAGGTGAGCAAAAATTGTTTTTTTATTGGATTTCTTTTTATGGCATTAAGGTGGTAGACATTTATAATCTGTGTCTTGTGTTAACAAAATGAATACATATGAAGAACTATTTACCCTGTCTCACTACAAAACCTAGGCAACTGTTTCCCAGGATAGAAAAGACTGCTCAGCAAAGGAACTTAATCTATGGGCAGGCTGGGTTCTGTCACCCTGTAATGGGGACACTGATAAATTTTGCATATGTGGTGGCAGGTACCCAGAATGATACATGAGGACTGGTCTTGTGACAAGAGGAGGATATGGTGGCTGCCTTCAAGTATCTGAAGCGTCACATGGAGGATAACCTGCCTTGTGACTGCAAAAGATATTGTTGGAGTCGGTGAAAGATTAGAATCTGAAGTCAGATCTTTAAGTAATGGAAACGCCGTAAGTGCAACATGGATGGGGCTGCATTGGGAACAAGTGAGCTAGCTCCCTGTGTGAGCCGCTCTTTATGGCAGGTATGTCTTCACAGTAGCATTAGACCAGATACTACTAAGGTGGTCCTTGACTTCCATGATAATCTGTACAGATGTTGCATTAATGTAAATGTTGGCCGTATAAAGCAAGCATAGAGGTGACAAATTGATTTGGATGTTTTTATTTTAGTAGTGTGGGCTTTGTAAAGTTTTCTGTAACACTCTGCCCTTCCAGAGTCCTTGGGAGACAGGTAGAAATAACGGAAGCACGGTGTGCCTCTGTTAGCAGGTGGAGAAATGGTGGCTGGAGAAACGAGAGATGTGAGCTTGGCACAGTTGCTTCGGCACAAAGCGTGTCTCACTTGGCTGAGTGTGGATTTGATGTTTTCAGAGCAGGTTCGTTTTTTGTTACAACACGGCTCCTGAAGGCAGGCCAACAGCTTCATCTGGTGCGCCACTGAATCGACAGCAATCTTTTCCAGCACCGGGGAGAACTTGGCCTTGTTGGACCTAGTGAGAAGCAATGTGTGGCATGTCACTTCCAATGTCATGCCCTCCTCCAGTTTGCTCCATGTCGTGTTGGCTATCCATCCACATTTGTCTTTGTTATGAAAATAGTGACGAAGGTGACTTTATCACGTTTTACAGTGAAAGTGGGATTGATGCAGCTTGCAAAAGTTTCTGAGGCCCAGGAGTGAGAGTCAGAGAGTGTCAGTCTGGCTTTTTACCCGGTTCTTGTTTCCAACTTAGAGCCTCTTCACTGCTAAAAGTGGAGCTGATCATACATTCATGCATTTGTTGATTCCACAAAGATCCTGTGTCCCCAAATTCAGCTTAACATTGGCAATCAATTAATGCCTCTGAGGCTGGAAAGGCAGGGCAGGGTTAAAGTGCTTGCTGTACAGCATGAGATCTTGATTTGGAAATCCCTTACCCATGCAGAAGGCTGTGCATGGTGACAAAAACCTGTAATCTCAGCACTGGTAGGTTGGACAAGGACTCAGCTAGCCAGCCAGTCTAGCCAATTGCTGAACTCCAGAGTCAATGAGAGACTATGTCTCAAAAAATAAATAAATAAATAAATAAATAAATAAATAAATAAAACGAGAGTGATACAGGAAGACACCCAAGGTTGGCCTCTAGCCTCCAGTGGCACATTCACACACACATCCACACCCCTAGTGATCTACCCCTTCCAGCTTACCATACTGCCTGTTTCCAGGTCCTCCCAAATAACATTACCATCTGAAGCCTAAGCATCCAAACCAGGGTCCTACAGGAGACACTCTATCGCCAAGCCATAACATTCTGTCCTTCGCCTCCAAAGGCTGATGCCCATCCCATAATAGGAAATGTATTTAATCCCGAATTCTAGAAGCCACCAAAATTCTTCTGATACTTACATTTAACTTTTACAAAATAAGAAGAAAGTGTATTATGGTACACAGTGTCCACATGAGGTCATAGAAAGGAGAGACGGAACCTGTCTTTTAGTGTGTGTTCTGTTGCTGCAAAGAAACACCGTGACCAAGACAAATCTTAGAAGAGGAAGCATGTGACTTGGGGCTTACTCACAGTTTCAGAGGCTTAGCCCATTATCATCGTAACAGGGAGCATGGTGGCATTCATGACAGACAGAGGGATGGAGAGGTAGCTGAGAGCTACATCCTGATCCACAGGCAGGCTGCAGGCGGAGAGACTGGAACTATTGAAACCTCAAAGCCACCCCCAATGCCACACTTTCTCCAACAAGCCAACACCAACTCCAACAAAGCTACACTTCCTAAACCTTCTAATCCTTTCAAACAGTTGCACTCTCTCATGACTAAGCACTCCAATATATGAGCCTGTGGGAACCATTCTTATTCAAATGACCACAGAACCTAGGATGTAAAACCATGAAGATTACCATTAAATCCTCCAACTCCATGTCCAACATCCAGAGTAAGTGGTGTTTTATGTGAGCTCCCACACACTTGGGCAACTCCATTCCTATGCTCTTGCCATTTGCAGCCCACCTGACTGTTTTGGGGGGCCGACTTGAACTGTAGCCTAGAACTGTTATTGGAAGAGATTCCACATTTCTGGCATCACTACCATACCAAGGTTACATCATAGCTTGGGCCCCACGTTTGCAGCTTCATTCATCACACTCTGATGGCCTCTCTGCAGAAAACCACCCCCTTCATACGCAGTCTTAAAAGCCTGAGAAGCCTCAATCACCTTGTACCTCCTGCATTCTGTGTGCCCACAAAACAAGCACCTCATGGATGAGGTCAATGTCTGCCACCAGCATGGCCACCTTGGACAGTGGTCACAGTAGTCTGTGAATACCTGGGTGGCAGTGTAGGGAGCTGCAGAAAACCGCACCCAAAAGATGGCGCTGGTTTCCGCCTCTGGCGAGCGCTCTCTGTGGTAAACAACTCCAAATAAGGCAAAGGTCATGTATCCTCTTAATTCTGCTTGGAGACAACCTATCCTGACGCGCCACGTAGGGTTAGGTGATTGGTAGATGTAGACTATATCAGGCCCCGTCTCCCTTGGCCCGGGGCCGCCGCCATTATACACTGTACAAAGCAAAGAGGTTCCCGATTAAACTGTGTTTGAAGAAGATTCCTCGGTGTGGCGTCTTTCTTGCTGGTCAAGGGTGGCCGCCGCATGGCAGAAGCT